GGAAATTTCGGATTTTGATACGGTTCTTCTTCTTCCTCTCTTCTTCTCTCAAGAACTCTAACCCTAACTCTTTTAAAATGGAACAAAATGATCCACAATCAGCCTAACACAATAATATAACCTCAAAAGAAAAGATTTGTGAAAAGACCAAAATGCCCTTAAATTTCCGGACGGACTCCTTGCTAACTGCCCAACTTTCAAAGGGCATAACTCGCTCATACGAACTCGGAATCGAGCAAACTCGGTGGCGTTGGAAAGATCGTTCCAAGGGCTTTCCAAACATAACTGGAACTACTCCTGGATCATCCTGAGCTAGGAGTTATGACTGCTCAAAGTTGGCCAAAAACTCACTGATTTCCCACACTTAACCAAATTTCCAGGTTCTGAACTTTTTCCAAAAGTGACTACTTCCAATTTCAAGCTTCTTCATATTCATTTTAAATTGTCGGATGTAACACAATTAAAATGAAATTACATAAAAACCCCTCATAGAACCTCATTATAAAGTCAACACAAAGTCATAGGCTCTTGCTTAACCTATCATTTTCCGAGTCGTTACAGGTAGTGTATACAAAATACTGGCAAAGTCTCTAAGACTGTAGCTGAGAGTCTTAAAAAGGCGGTATGCTCTCTAATCTCTGGCAAACAGAGTGCATTCATGAAGAATAGACAAATCACTGATGCTTCCATGATTGCCAATGAAGTTCTAGACTGGAAATTAAAAAGTGGAGAGTCTGGGATCCTATGTAAATTGAACATAAAGAAGGATTTTGATCAATTAAATTGGGCATACTTGATCAACATCTTAAAGCAAATGGGGTTCAGAGATAGGTGGATCAGATGGATCTTTTTTTGCATCTCGACAGTGAAACTATCAGTGTTAGTTAACAGGAGCCTTGTAGGATTTTTCTCCTCTAAAAAGGGGCTAAGGCAGGGAGACCCACTATTCTCTTTCCTTTTCATCCTGGCAATGGAAGGACTCTCACAAATGCTAACAAAGGCCAAAGAGCTGCAGTGGATTCAAGGGCTCCAGGTAGGCAGTGATCCTTCCACTACACTCACTGTCCCTCATCTACTCTATGCAGATGACACCTTGATCTTTTGTGGAGCAGATAGTCAACAAATAAGCAACCTTAACATTACCCTTATGGTCTTTGAATTTATCTCTGGTCTTCACATCAACATGCTCAAAAGCATCATATACCCTGTCAATGAGGTCTCCAATCCTAGAGGAACTAGCTGACATCCTTAGCTGCAAAATAGGCTCCTTTCCTACCACTTATTTGGGCTTGCAATTAGGTGCTGGATTCAAATCCTCTAAGATCTGGACTGGAGTAATTGAAAAGATGGAGAAGAGACTAGCTACATGACAACTTCAATACTTATCTTTTGGAGGCAGACTCACTCTAATCAATAGTGTTCTAGACAGCATTCCTACCTATTGCATGTCTTTATTTCCTTTGCCAAGCTCGGTCCGGAAGAAAGTAGACAGACTAAGAAGAAGATTCATGTGGGATGGTAACAGTCAAACTCATAAGTTCTCTCTGGTGAAATGGCAAAATGTTATTCTACTAAAGGCCCAATGGGGACGGGAATTAGAGACCTAAAGATGCACAACAAATGCCTGCTTATGAAGTGGCTTTGGAGATACGGGCGGAATGAGGCAGGGTATTGGAAGGAGATCATCAAAGCAAAACATGGAATCCATGATCACTGGAGACCAAAGATGAGCAAAGATCCTCATGGAGTAGTGGTATGGAAACACCTAAGTAGCTTCCAAAATGAGTTTCTTCAGAAAGTCTACTTCAAACCTGGGAATGGACTCAACATAAGATTTTGGTTAGACAAGTGGATTGGGGGTACTATTTTGAAGGATTCATTTCCTATGATGTTCCAGATAGCCACCAATAAGGAAGCCACAATGTCCCAATACAGAGTTGATAATATTTGGAGTCCAATTTTTAGAAGGAATTTACAGGACTGGGAAATTAATGAACTTCTTCTCTTGCTACAAACATTGGAAAACTGTAACTTACATGTTAATAATTCAGATAGACTACTTTGGGGAAGCTCCGACGAAGGGATCTACACTGTAAAGGAAAGCTACAACTACTGGTGCGCCTAGATTGGCATACTTGAAGACTTTCCCTGGAAGCATATTTGGAGGACCAAACAACTTCTTAAGCATCATTCTCTCATCAACAGATGTCTTTTCTGTAAACAAGACAATGAAAGTGTCAACCATCATTTTTTGCATTGCCCCACAATAGTCGGCATATGGCACTTCTTCTTCTCATTGTTTGGCCTCCAATGGGTTATGCTCCTCCACATCAAAGATGCTTATGCTTGTTGGATATGTAGGAGAGTTGACAACACCATCAAAAGTACTTGGAGGATGATCCCAACAGTAATTTTTTGGAGCATTGGAAAGAGAGAAACTGCAGATGTTTTGATGGAATATCGACTCCCATAACCATCATTAAGACTAGGTGTTTAGTTAGTCTTTATAATTGGCACCTTCTCTCCCTTGTAAACAGTATGGATAATTTTTTGGATTTTGTTAAGCTCCTTAACTCTAGCACAGTAGGGTTTAAGGGGGTTTATTTTTTTGGCTGCTTTACAGGGTTTTGCACAGTTAGCTTCATGTTTGAAGCAACTTTGTTTTTAGTTGTAACTATTGCATCTTCTTGATGCCTTTCTAATGCAATTTAATTACTTCACCCAAAAAAAAAAAAGTCCCTTTAAGTTAACTTTCAATTGTTGCTAATAATTCATCTTTGCTATACTGATTTATTTTATAAATTGTCCCTTTTTGTTGAAATTTTCTTGTGGCATGAACTAACATCTTCGCTTTGATTTTTGCTAAATTTATAGTTTTATACGGGATCTTGCTTTGGTGATGGTGCAAGATAACGTAATAAAGTTGTGTTTTTCACGTCTCATTATTCGGATGTGCATAACCAAGTGGTAACAACAGAACCGTCACTAGAAGCAATACAAAGTTTGACACACAACTGTCACTAGCAACAACACACAACTTATTTGGCCCTTCAATTATCAAACAAGCTTTACACGGTCAAAATGTGTTGTATTAGATAGCTTAATTTACCCTCTTTGTTAAAAACAAAACCAAGTTTCTTTGATTTGTTATAAAAGTTCATGTTGCCCTTTTAGTTGTGTCATATTAAAATGTTGCACAATATTAAAAGATTGCATGTACTCAACCCAAGTACTTTCCTATAGATACATCATCTAACGAAATATTGTAATATCGATTTGATGTTTGTCATTGATCCATATTGGGCCCATGCTAGCACGGGCCGTGCCTATCTAGTTTTATTAGAAGTGGCACTTGAGGGTGTACGAACACTGCTATATGCAGTTGTACAGAATGCACCAATAGTTGTATTTTTTTTAAGGATAATTTCATAATTTTATCTTATTAGTCTATATTACTTTATGTCAACACCAATAGTTTGGGCTTTGTGGGCTTATTTGATTGGCTATTAGACATGTAAGTACTTCTCTTTGATGTTAGATTTTTCTCCGCACAAACATAGGTCTATTGAGGGCATCTCCAACCCTACACTTTATTTTACTCTCTAAATATAGAGTTTTCTATTTTTCTAGACAACTAGCTCCAATTCAATTCTCTATTTTACTCTCTAAAAAAGAATCTTATTTTCTCTCCTCAATATTATATTATTATTTTTATTTCTATTTCATTTTCTTATTTCATAATATAAATCCGTTCTTTTTTTTCAAAATAATCACCCTATATAATTTTCATGTAATATAAAATTATTATTTTTTAAAATTCTTTATTTAATATAAAATTATATTTTATTGTAAATTTTAAAGAACAACTACGAAAATTTGAAAAAAGAAATCAACAAGAACAACCGCAATCACAAACACAACAATTTTCTAGATCATACATTATATTTTTTCCGAATATTCTTAAATCTAAAAACGACCTACCGAAGTACTAAATTATTATTGTGATTTTAAAAAAACATTATGTTATGTATTGTATTGCTATCTTGTATTTAAATTATTATGTATCCCGAGCCCCAAAACCTAATAGTCTCTTCAACTATCATCAACCAGAAGCCACTCTCAGGGGAACCCACTTCGGACTCCTTATTCCATTTTCGGACCGTTTTGAGGCGTTGGCTAAGATCAAGCTCATCTATCTCATCCTTGAAAATGAGATAGATGCTGTCTTTTTGGTCTTGGGGCGAGCCCGACAACCCTATGCCGAAGAAAGTAGCCCTTTCAAAATTTCGGCTAGGGCATTTCTTTCCTCAGCGATTCAGTTGAGTTGCTTTTCCGTAATACGTAAAAGCTTCTCGTCTGTGGTGCCAGTCCAACAATCTGGTGGTCCAGCAGCCTCGGCTCGCCTTGCGAAAAAAGGGTACTACTCTTCTTCCTCCACTACTGATATTGACTGACCTGTTGATAGGATAGCAGGGAAAGTTGAGAGTATATCCGGAGAAAGAAAAAAACCTTTTCAGGATGAGACTACGAACCCTAATGGAGCCAATGAGAAAGCAGTTGCAGGCCAGTGTAGGCTTGCTCCGCACAGGTTACATCTGGGCCTTATATTGATATTCTTTTCAATTCATTTTGAAATTTCTTCGGTCCGGGGTACCGCGTGTATTGTATTTTTAAATTAAATTTTTCATTTTATCATTTAAATTTTGTGCATTCTTCGTAGTGAAAATCAATAATAATATCAAATTATCTCTTAAAGTGACGAAAATTGAAAAAAATATATTTAAAATATTGTTAATTCGGGATGAAAGTATATATTAAATAACATATATTTTAAAATATTGTACTATATTTAAAAAGAATTACGAATAGTATAAATTTATTTAATAGGCCTTATATGAAAAATAATATGTTAGTTACAAATAATAGAAATAATATTAAAATAATAAAAAAGTGAAATAGAGAAGTGAATAGTAGTTCTCCAAACCCCTCTATAAATAAAGAATAGAGAGCTTTTTAGAGAGTGGTTGGAGACCCAATTCTCTATTTTACTCTCCAAATATAGAGAACGGAGAGTAAAATAGAGTGAGGTTGGAGATGGTCTGATTGTCTGTAATGGTGGTAAAAAACCTCTTTTTCTCCTACACTATTTGAATTCCGGATCTCGGGTGGTTCGATTTGTATTTGGTGTTTCTATTGATTGATGTTTGTGTTATATAAGCCAACAAGAGTTGGAGCATATATGCTACTATTATGAGTCAAGAATATGTTGCTTCTCTGCGATACTCATTTCAAACTCTGTGACATCCCTCTTTCAGGCTTGAAAGTGTCGTTTCTCCTCGCCGTGTTTGTATGTTTTAATTTGTATATTGCAACACCTTCTTGGTGCTTTTGGTTATGAATATATCTTCTTTGAAATACTAAATTCTATTCTCTTGCTAATCGTAATTTATGCCATTATTGTGTTTGCTGAAATTCCCCACTGAAAAAAGACTTGTGTGTCGTGAGAGAGCTTAGTACCAAGAGTTGGCCGCTTTAAAAAATGTTGGAAGTCTAATGAAATTGAAGTATGGGCTTCCCTCCGCTTATTGTTATCTTTTGCTTTTTATCTAAAATGTTTTGTTCCTGTGTGAAGAAGGAGTTACCAGTTAAATGTTTTTAGAATTACCTTAATTTTATTGATCTTTTGTAATGGTATTTCATTTACCTGCATGTGTAATTCTACAGTAGCATTACTACTATTTATCTAACTTTTTTGTCGAAGTGAAACAATGTTCTGTTTTAGAGAAAAAAGTGGCACTCAGCACTCTCTGCATTAAGAAACATTCGGTGGAAACCATTTTGATCCGTGGAGATAAAATTTTGACATTCAAGTCAAGGTACATGACTACATAATGACACTAATAACTATATTAGTACTATTGTTTTCTGAAAATAATCTGAAGATCTTTGAACTTTTTATGTTTTCGCACAAGATTGAATCAAATAGCAAGGGATCATGAAATTACTTGATCTCTCGAACTCTCTAGTGTTTGTGAATAGTAAGAAGAATGGAGTAAATGTTGCTAGCAATGCTCTTGTGGAAGTTCCCATGCTGCACCCAGGAAGCTATGATCACTATAACTTGCATTAGCTATGTGTCCTAGGCTCGATGTGTGAAAGTACCTGTCATGGAATCTTAAGACACCGAAATGGCTGAATTGAGAATCTCTGAGTACTTTCAATTGAAAGAGGTACTCTTCGATTTTGCAGTGTATGAAGTTGAGAAGTCCTACATATTTTGATACATATAACAAGTGAGATTTTGAGGCCAAATATGTTTGAGTTAGAGGAGATTGGTCAAAAAGTTGCAAAATTATTGAAGTATATTTTGCTCTTATATTTCTTTCATGGCACGAATTGGAGTAGGTAGTTGCATCCTACATGTTCTGTGTTGGATTTCGCCTCATGAATTAACAATCGACTTCCCCATGGTATAGTAAATACATTTTGATTATAATATGTTTGCGATTACGTATGAATGAAGCCGGAAGGGAAATAAGGAATCAAAACAAAGGGCCCATATAAGAGAGATCACCATTAGTGGTCTGGCTAAACACAAAGCCTTAAGAATACGTAGATTCGTCAAATGAACTTTACATAAGCATCCTTATAGGTGAATTGATACTCAGAAGGTTGAGATGTATGTATCTTTATGAGAAAACCAGATATTAAGAGAATACAAAAATTACACGTTCGTCTACATTTTCAAACAGTTGTAAGGTGTCCATAAGTACAGAACATGTTTGAGGAAGAACATTGCATTAAACTATTATAAAAGCCTTACAAAGTCTGCTCTATATTTGGCCTCGACTGAATAAGCATAGTCTCTTCCTCTTTCTACTAAACTGTTGTTGTAGACTTCAAGTTCCAAGTGATGTTCATGTTTGTTACACACTTTAATGTTCTCCGAGTTCTTTTGTTTCAAAATTAAGTAATGTGGCAGTTAACTACTCTCCAGATTGAGCATGGATAAAACGTCTATTGAAAATAGAAGGACAATAAAACGAAAAGTGGAATAACAAGTACAACCAAAATGGAAAGGGAAGTGACATAAAGGAGCACATGAAACGGTAAGACAAAAAAATGTCCTTCTATGTGATTTTTTGTCAATTCAAATTTATGGATACGTCATTTAATCTATATATCAATTTAGTCCTAAAATTTTATTTTGTGTAGAATTAACAGATACCCAATATAATGACCACATAATTGACATGACCATTGTAAGTTCAATTTGCAGAGAAATAACATGTGGCGTACAAGAGACCTATGCTAAGTTGTAAGAAAACTAAATCAGACTTCATGATATCATTTTGTGGGTTGCTACTGCAGATAATGAAGAATATAACTATATCTCCTTTCAATTTTTGATACTCTTTCCAAATTTGATCAGATCATATGTCATGTATGAACAAAGATGTTACCATCTTCCTCTGTTTTCTTTTAAGAAAGTTGCATCATAGTTCAGGAGGAAGTAGTTGATAATCAATTGATGTTATTGAAGAACAAATTCGGGGAGAAAACTATAGTGCTACTTGATGCTAAGATGTATCTACGTATAGATTTTTCGAGTCATTTATGTATATAAATTTGCGGCTTGTGATGTTCCATTATGATAAAATTCACACCACATGATATATGTATGATCATGTGAGATCGATGTTGCTATTCAACATAAATATTATTCAGACCTTCATAGCTGAATCACTCATATTTAGGATTCGGTATATCTATATCATTAGATAACTATTCCACCATCCTTTTAACGCCTTCAATGTTGGGCACAATACATGTTGGACCTTACTGAGCAAAACATGCCCCAAGCAAATCCTCGACAATAATTTTCTTCTAGCGTGACCGACGTTGTTTCTAATAAAATTAGTATTTGTCAACAATGAATACAATAAGGGCAATCCTAATTTTCTCTTCAAGTGCTTAGTTTTTTGTCAAAATGGCAATCCTAATTTTCTCTGTAATGTCAAAAGTAAAGAAAGTTACATTCTCTATTTCCTATATGTAAATGACAAAAAACGGTTCAAGCCAATAGAATTAATTAGTCAACATGTCGCACTAGAAGAAGAAGGGGTAGAAACAAATAAAACTATAGAAAACAACCCAACATAAAATTATAGAGAATAACACCACATTAAACTATTCAAGGATGTTCACCAATCACCGCCACGAACCTTAGCTGCAATAGTATTTGCTTAGGTAATATTTAAAATTTCATGGCAAAGATAAACGATTGTAACGCAATTACTTTTCAAATACTTTAGTGATGATTTTCAATTTCAAGCAAAAGGTGAACGATTAGAATACAATTACTTTAGTGTTGGGCCCGTGCTGGCTTTGCGAATCTAGTATATATATATATATATATAAAAGAGAATCTTAGGTCCGCCTACGTGGCGTTACCACAAACAAGAATTCTCTTTTAATATATTTATTTCTAAAACTAACCTTCCCCTTTCATGAAAAGTTGTGACATTTATGAAAAGTTGTGACTTTTATAAAAATTTGTAACTTTTATGAAAAATTGTTACTTTTATGAAAAATTGTGACTTTTATGAAAATTTGCGACTTCAATGAAAAGTTGCGACTTTTGTGAAAAATTGTGACTTTTATAAAAGATTGTGACCTTTCCGAAGGGTTGCAACTTTTCCAAATAGTTGTAACCTTCTGATAAGGCACAAAACATTTGTTCACACTACCCTTTGTTAACTATAAATAGAGGGATTTTCTCTAATTTTAAAACAACGAAAATTCAAAACCTCCTCCTCTTTTTCTTCTTCTTTTTCACAATTAAATATTTGTGTACTTTACTCCTTTTGAGTGGATCACTGACACCATTTCTTATGTTACACATCCTGGTATGTATTTTTACAGTCATTAATTTATGTTTGTGTTATTAACGATAAATGATAAGATGTAATAATTTTCATTTCCTTTACATTATAAATGTTTGTTACTACGTAATCTTGTATGTAAGATAATATAGTGTTTTAGTTTTAATGATTGATAGATTTTAAGTATTATTTAATATATTCCGTGATATTTCGCACGAATAATTTTACTAGACTAATAAAAGATCAAATTCGGGGCAACATCAAAACATAAAAAAGCAATGCATGGGTTGCTATTTGAATTAAGCAAAAAGCAATTGGGCTTTGTGTCAAAATCTCAAAACGTCCCACAATCGATCCTACAGTGTACAACATGGCATAGCAAAATTATAGTGTTATTCCAAAGATGCCCTTGGTCGGCAAGCATGCTGACCGTCTCATGTATGCTTATTGCCACTTATATATATATACTAGATGAGTGTCGTCCGTGCTAAGCACGGGCCCAATATTTTAGGCCAAGTAATACTAATATTTTGCACCAGCAATGGTGTTGTCATTCGGTCAGGACTTAACTTTTAGTTCCTTGTTTGTTTGCTATAATAAAAGTCTAAAATCACAGAGAACATTAAAGCATAGGCATTTTTTTTAACATAAGGCAACAATCTTCAAAATTACACGTGCCCAACTCTTCCCATAAAATTTATTGCAACCATAGCTTCATGAGCATACTCCATAGGTAAGAACCAATAACCCCCATCACCACCATTTGTATACATCTAAGTGAGAATTAACTTTGAAATTCACACAAAATAAAAGGAGCACAAACAATGTGTTTGTCTACATTTTAACCCCTAGAAAAATGATACATTTATCACTTGTGTCTATCATCTATCATCCAAACCTGAAACAACAAACCTATTAGCCTGAATAACTTCATCAGTAGTACTTCAAAAGTGCTATTTCAAAAACAAATAAAAGACAAATTTTAAAAAAAGAAAACTTTAAATTGCCGAACTACCCCTGGCTACAAGCAGGCATGTTGAAACTTGAGAAGTTATTCAAAATTTTATATGATTTTTAAAAATATTTTAAGTTATTAATTACTGTGATTTTTAATTTTTTAAGCGATTTTGAAGTAATATATATTATTTCGTTCTCCCAATTTATGCGGCATAGATATAATTTCAAAGATTAATCATTTTTATGTCTTTTAAATATTTTAAATTGTTAATTATTGTAATTTGTAGTACCTTTTACGTAATTTTTAAATAATTTTTTTTACTTCTCATGTCCCAATTTATGTGGTATTGATATAATTTTGAAAGTTAGCCAATTTTGTTTATGTCTTTTAAATTTCGAAGTTATTAATTATTGTGATTTATATACTTTTTACGTCATTGTCAAATAATATATGTCATTTCCTCTAACCCATTTTATGTGTTACACATAGAATTTTGGAGGTCAAATGATTTTTTATATTAATTTTAAATATTTTAACTTATTAATTATTGTGATTTAAAGTATTATTACTGTAATTTTCAAATATATAACAGGCTAAAAAAGATATGTAAGACAAAATTAAAAGGAAAAAAATGCAGAATTAATGAATAATTTTTTAATACTATTTTTAAACATTAGTAATGAATAAGCAGTAGATTTTTCAGGAGTCAATTTTGTTACACGGGGCCCAATATATGTTAATTTTTGTGTCTTAATTTTATGTTATATCATGTAACTTGAGAAGTTATCGAAATTTTTATATGATTTTAAAAAATATTTTAAGTTGTTTAATTATTGTAATTTATACTTGTTTTATTACTCTCTTTGTTTCAATTTATGTGGCATATATAGGATTTCAAAAATTAACCTTTTATGTTTTTAAACATATTAAATTGTTAATTTTTGTAATTTATAGTATCTTCTTAACATAATTTTCAAATAATATATGTTACTTCTCATGTCTCAATTTATGTGGCATTGATAGATTTTTTGGAGTCAAGTGATTTTTTTATATGTTGTTTTTTTTTAAATTGTTAATTATTGTGATTTATAGTACTTTTTATATCAATTTTGAATAATATATATTTGTCATCTAACTCATTTTTTTTGTAGCACCAATAGAGTGTCAAGAGTCAATCGAATTTTCTTTTACATAGTTTTTAAATATTTATATTGTTAATTATTATTTCTAGTATTATTTATACAATTTTTTAAATTTATAATCAACAGAAAGAATAATATTAGAGAAATAAATTTAATATAAAGAAAATACTAAATAGTAAATACACCGGATCGATACTAACTTACCTACTCCTGCTCCTACCGGATCCAAGAGGGCCGATGCCCGATTCCCCGACCCATTACTCATTCCTTCCCGACTCGATAGGGATTGCAATCTCGAGAGAGGGAGCAACAATTGACCTCCGACAATAGGTAGATGGGGTGGGCTACGATGGATACAGTGAAATCAATCCTTATTCCGCACTCCCTCTCACCGGCCTGAAACATATATAAATCATGAATTCTTCAGAGCGGGCCGGCAGGCCAGGCGTACGGGGACCGTCGAAGAAGTGCCTCAACGCGCCGCAGCCACTACTTTGGCTCCTTTTATGCAATTATGAACTCCACGGAACTTTATCAATCCCAATGCAACTTATCCTTTTGGAGCTGACGTAACAAACTATGCGAGCATCCCAACGAAGCCAACATAAATCCAATCCGAATTAAAAAAAGAAAAGGAAGTTTTGATTATTGTGGTATACCAGCCACCTGTTCTGGAACTTCCAGTTCCAATCGAAGCATATAGATCCGTAAATAGATTTGTATGTATAGCCACTTCAGTTGTGCTCGTCCTTTCTCGAAAGTATCTTTTTTCTGGGAACATGGTCAACCAGAAATTATTATGTTCGCGATTCTTCATCCACCGATGGATAAAATGCTCCAGTTTTCCATTCTTATATGAGGCCGGAAAGTGGATTGGGAACAGGTCGGCACGAAGTGATTCATCATGCTCAAACATGAGCCGATCGCTCATTAGGGACGGTATATATATAAAAAATAGAATGATACAATTTAACTTTAAAATATTTATTTTAATCTTAATAAAATTATTTATAGCTACATAAATATTTATCACTTGTTTTAGATCATAAATTTTAATTTTTTTTCTTTCTCTGTGTCAAATTAAAATATAAAATAGAGGGGAGGGATAATATTAAGAGTAATATGTTAAGTACAAAAACACTTAAAAGGCTAAAGGTACCGTGTTAGAAAAAGTGAGAGACCAAAATAAGGAAGAACTTGTCAAATAAAATTTTAATGGACCCCACTTTATTGGATGACTCTATTTAAAAAGTTGCATAAAGAGCGCGTGTAGTAAACATCTAAGTAAGGACCACACTTTGTAAAAAAATAGATAAAAAAAGAGTAAAAAAGCACATGGCGCGTAGTAATTAAGTACCAGTTGGGGTCCATAAGTCAAAGTAGTAGTACATTTTGAGAAAGGACAAATAAATAAATACATATATATGTGTTGGGCTTTTTGTCCAATAGAGCAATAAAATAATCATGATAGCAGCTGGTACAAGTCAATTACAGCGATTATTTTTGGTAATACCTAATTTACCCCTTGGTCGGCAAGCAGCAATGCCCTTGCCTAATAACATAATTACTAATTTGCCCTTGGTCGTCCTGGTCGTCTTCACTCTTCTATATAATAGAAACTAGTGACGAAGAACCCGTGCAGTGCACAGGCCCAATA